TATCATACTGAATGGGCAAAAACTGGAAGCATTCCATTTGAAAACTTGCGCTGGACAAGGGTGCCCTCTCTCACCGTTCCTATTCAACATAGTATTGGAAGTTCTAGCCAGAGCAATCAGAAAAAAACAAATAAAGGGTATTCAGTTAGGAAAAGAGGAAGTCATATTGTCTCTATTTGAAGATGACATGGTTGTATATTTAGAAGACCCCATCGTCTCAGCCCAAATTCCCCTTAAGCTGATAAGCAACTTCAGCAAAGTCTCAGGATACAAAATCAGTGTGCAAAAATCACAAGCATTCCTATATACCAATAACAGATTTAAAGAGAGCCAAATTAAGAATGAAATGCCATTCACAATTGCTACAAATAGAATAAAATACCTAGGATACAACTATCAAAGGACATGAAAGACATTTTCAAGGAGAACTGCAAACCACTGCTCAACGAAATAAGAGAGGACACAAACACATGGAAAAACATTCCATGCTCATGGTTAGGAAGAATCAATATTGTGAAAGTGGCCATACTGCCCAGAGTAATTTATAGATTCAAGGCTATTCCCATCAAACTACAATTGACCTTCTTCGCAGAACTGGAAAAAAACACCTTAAACTTCACATGAAACCAAAAAGAGCCTGCATAGCAAAGACAATCCTACGCAAAAAGAACAAAGCTGGAGGCATCACACTACCTGACTTCAAATGATACAACAAGGCTACAATAATAAAAACAGCGTGATACTGGTACCAAAACAGAGATATAGACCAATAGAACAGAACAAATGCCTCAGAAGTAACGCCACACATCTACAACCATCTGATCTTTGACAAACTAGACAAAAACAAGCAATGGGGGAAGGATTCCCTGTCTAATAAATGGTTTTGGGAAAACTGGTTAGCCATGTGCAGAAAGCAGAAACTGGACCCCTTCCTTACCCCTTACACTAAAATTAACTCCAGATGGATTCAAGATTTAAACATAAGACCTAACACCATAAAAACACTGGACAAAAACCTAAGCAATACCATTCAGGACATAGGCATAGGCAAGGACTTCATGACTAAAACACCAAAAGCAATGGCAACAAAAGCCAAAATAGACAAATCGTATCTAATTAAACTTAAGAGCTTCTGCACAGCAAAAGAAACCACTATTAGAATGAACTGGCAACCAACAGAATGGGAAAAAATTTTTGCAAGCTACCCATCTGACAAGGGGCTAATATCCAAAATCTACAAAGAACTAAAACAAATATACAAGATAAAAACAATCCCATCAAAAAGTGGGCAAAAGATATGAACAGACACTTTTTAAAAGAAGACATCTATGAGGGCAACAAACATATGAAAAAATGCACATCATCACTGGTCATTAGAGAAATGCAAATCAAAACTACATTGAGATACCATCTCACACCAGTTAGAATGGCGATCATGAAAAAAATCTGAAGACAACAGACGCTGGAGAGGATGAGGAGAAATAGGAACACTTTTACACTGTTGGTGGGAGTGTAAATTAGTTCAACCATTGGTCGAAGATAGTGTGGCAATTCCTCAAGGACCTAGAAATAGAAATTCCATTTGACCCAGCATACCCATTACTGGGTACATATCCAAGGGATTATAAATCGTTCTGGTATAAGGATACGTGCACACGAATGTTCATTGCAGCACTGTTTACAATAGCAAAGACCTGGAACCAACCCAAATGCCCATTGACGATAGACTGGACAGGGAAAATGTGGCATATATACACCATGGAATACTATGCAGCCATAAAAAGCGATGAGTTTGTGTCCTTTGTAGGGACATGGATGAACCTGGAAACCATCATTCTCAGCAAACTGACACAAGAACAGAAAATCAAACACCGCATGTTCTCTCTCGTAGGCGGGTGTTGAACAATGAGAACACATGGACACGGTGAGAGGAGCATGACACACTGGTGTCTGTGGGGGGAAACTAGGGGAGAGACGTTGAGGGGTGGGGGTTGGGGAGGGGTAACATGGGGAGAAATGTCAGATATAGGTGATGGGGAGGAAGACAGCAAACCACAGTGCCATGTATGTACCTATGCAACAATCTTCACATGTACCCCAAAACCTAAAATGCAATAAAATACATATTTCAAAAAAAGAAATGAATACTATTCAAAAAAATTTTTTATGTTATCAAGTTGTTTATAATTAAAGGGAAATTATAATGGTCTTTCTAGGGATTGGGTTCGATATAAAAAACAAATACACTAATGAGTTGATTTGAACAGTAAATTTTTCTTAAGGGATTGATTTACTCTTAATAAATTATAAAAGATTCTAATTTTTTTTTTAAACTCAAAATTCAACTTTTATTGTATCTTGCCATTTTTGTTTTTTTCTCCCTCTTTAAAAGGTGTGAAATAATAAAGCTCTCTTTCAACTCATTTTCAGCTCATATAGGTTTTTTTCCCCAAAGTTCTGTTTTTAGTGGCCTGATGCTAACAATATTTTCTTGAAGGTCTAAAGGAAATGTTTTCTTCCAACATAGTATTCTGTACACTGCAGAAGGTCTTTTCTTTTGCCTTTTGGTAACTGGCCTAATAGATTTTATGTTTAATAAAAAAATTCCCATGCCATTGTTATTAAGTTTTGGTTTGCTTAGGAAAAAAACTGATACTAATTTTTTTTTTGACACAGAGTCTTGCTCTATCGCCAGGCCGGAGTTCAGTGGTGCTATCCCGGCTCACTGCAACTTCCGTTTTCTGGTTTCAAGCAATTATCCTGCTTCAGCCTCCCCAGTAGCTGGGACTACAGACATGCACCACCACGCCCAGCTAATTTTTTGTACTTTTAGTAGATACGGGGTTTCACTATCTTGGCCAGGATGGTCTCCATCTCTTGACCTCGTGATCTGCCCTCCTCGGCCTCCCAAAGTGCTGGGATTACAGGCATGAGCCACTGAGCCAGGCCTTTTTTTAAAAAAGAATTAAGGTTATTACATCCGTGTATCTTTCTGTGTGTGCTTTTAAAGTACTTGTAACATTAAGTTACAGGGCTTTGACTCCTGGGTCAAAAATGGACACAAAGTCTTGCTAAAGGTGATCCACATGCTTTCGGCTTCCCAAAGTGCTGGGATTACAGACATGAGCCACTGTGCCCGGCCTGAATTCTAATTTTTCTTGGCTATGAGCCTGCAAAATAATGTTTTCAATTTTTTACCTTCTTTTTTCCCCATTTTTCCTAATTTAGAGTCACTGAAAACTAAGCTATACTTTTGTAAAGCCCTGCAAACTGAAGCTAAACAACTTAAACTTCAGAGGAAAATAATAGCAACCTATTTACATACATAAGCCACTTTCTTACCTGCTTACTAATATATGGACTTCACAGCAACATGGCCTATATTGATTTTTCAGGATTGTTCTTCTGTTTGTTGTTGCTTTTCTTCCTCCCCGCCCATTTTCTCTTCATAGGACATAAGACTCCACAGCCTTCTAAAAATGAACTTTCCTAATAACTGGGGTTTTACCCGTCTAGGAATAAACCATCCTAGCCATGAGAGATCAGACAAAACCTGAAACCAGAGACTCATTTTCTTTTAATATGCTGTGTCCAAAAGATTTTAAAAAAGAAAAGGGCAAGTTCGGGCAGCTCCCTTACAGACGTGAGAAGCCGCACGCTACAGACGTCTGGGAAGAGTGATAAGACTGACAGAAGTCAGAGGGGAGGGAGAAAAAGGGTAGGAGTGGAGTGGCTAATCCATAAATGGAAAGAAAGTTTTGCCATTGGGAAATCAAAACTTAAAGTGGGGAAGGGGACAAGATGTAACCTTAAAAGGGGATAATAAAACTTAGGCGGCATTGGGGAAGATTGTAACCCCGTAGTACTCAGCCTATGAGGAACCAGGGTAGAGACTTGCACACTAGGTGACAAACTGCTTGTTGAAACTGCACTGGGTGTGCCTGCCCACCAGACACCTGATCTCGAAAAACCATTATTAAAAAGTCTCACTTTTGCTGTCCTTCATGCTTCTAGGTCCATTCTTTGGGTTTGGACAGGTGAGTGTGTTTCTCACATCACCTAACTCCTGAGCTCTTACGGGGAAGCTGCTGCTAACCAGTTTCAGGTGTTTTCTATCTATTGGGAGCGTGCCTCTTCCTGGCACTGGCTGCAACCCATTATTACTTTAGAGAGACAGTTAACAACTGTTTATTACCTGATGGTTGCCTGACATTCCTGGTGGGGGAGAGAGGAGCCTGCTCTGCTCATGCCTGGGCTACATACCTACTATAACAATGGTGAAGTTTTGCTTGGGCCTTAGGTCAAATATTCATTTCAAAACTAGGCCATTCAAACTTCAGCACAAATGTTGAGAGCCCTCTAAAACATTTACCTAATCCTTAATGGATTGCTGGTAGAAACAGTAAAGAAATGAATATTTTCCTTCACACTTGCCTTCAGCACAAAAAATTCCCTGTCTTCACTGTGTGATGCATGTGAATATTTATATAATTACTAGGTATGCCTGGCCCTTCTCTGCTGGTTTCTTTCCAACCCTTTGTCCTTCCAACTCCGTCGCTTCCCCTCTTTTAAAATAGTGTTTTGCATCTTGAATTTCTGAATCAAAAGGGATATAGTCTCCAAGTTTCTTCTGCTCCTACAGTAGTTGGCACTTGTGAGGAGGTCGCCTGAAACGCTCCTTGTCGGTGACAATGACCATAAACCATGGGAGAAATATGTCCAATAACTAGAAAATTAAGCAAGGGGTTATTAATACAATCTTTTGTAGTTTTTAGAATGCAACCTCGTATTTCCAAAAAATTCTCTCGTTTAAACGTCAAAGACAAAACAAGCCAACAGCCCATATGCACAACTTATTTTTAAACTGTAAAACAAATACCGCATTACAGAAAATTTACGAAACAAAGGAGAAAAACCGACACGCCACCCAGAGACTGAAATGATCTAGATTAATTCCAGGCTGTTTTTCCCTTATCTCTTCCCGCGCCTTCGCCACCAAGAGCAACCTTCGCGCGCTGCCGGAACCGCGGCGCAGGGGGAGGCGCTGCCTCGCGCGCGGTGCGCCGTTGCCATGGTAGCTGCGGAGGCTGGGACCCGGGTGTGGTGAGTCTAGGGTCCTGGCGCCTGGGACCCGGGTGGGCACTCGGGGAGGGGTGCGAGGGGGTAGACGGACATCTTCCCTCCAGGCTGCTGGGGCAGGGCTGGAGGGGAGTGGGCTTCAGTCACAGCGCCCGCAGACTCTGCTTCTGTCCAGAGCTTTGTGCACCCGTCCCCTACCCCGCGGGCAGCCGCGAAGGATCGCAGAAGGTCCCCAGGGAATTCAGGCCCAAGAGCAAACTCTGAGGTCCTGAAGTGTCCGATGCCTCCTCGCGGGACCTCATGAATCACCTGGCGGCGCTGCCACTTTCTGCATCCTGTTTCTCAGGCCTTCCCTTTGTTTAACCCTGTGTGCCCAGGGCTGCCCTTGGGGTCTTTCTCTTTGAGCTGGGACTTAAAATCCTTAAAGGACTATATTTTTTTTTGAAGAAAAAAAGTCAAATGGCTTAAAAGGCACGTAAGGATCTACTCCTCTCTCACAACTTCAGGCTGCGTCGCCTGCCTCCTTGCCCTTTGTTTATGCTCTTCCCGTTACCCGGACTGTCCTTTTTTTCTCCCTTTTAGGACTCCTACTCTTCAAATATGGAGGTTTCACCTCTTCTTGGAAACCTTTCTGAGACTGCCTCCCAGAATTGAAAGTAGATGTCCACCGTCTTTACTCTCAAAGCACTCTTTGCCTGCCTCCATTGTATCCCTGCTCTCACTCTGTCATTGCTGATTTACTTGTGTCTTCCTTACTAAACTGTGAGAGCCTATGGGATAGGGGCTGTGATCTATGTGATTTTCCATTGTGCCTTAAAAGCATTCACATTCTGTAGTTAAAAAGAAAAGTTTATAGATTTATTTTTCTACACTTATTTAGTAAGGCAGACCAGGTGCTGTCCTCATTTCAGAAAAGTCACTTAATTAGTAACAGAATCAAGACTAAGGCAATGCCATTCTGCCTTCATAGTTCCAGCCTTCCCTCTTCCCTTCCAAGCTCATATTCTCTGTGAAACTTTAGTTATATGTAGCAGGGTTATAATTTTGATGTATGTTATTACCTTTGTGGGAAAAGAAAATGTAGTTTATTTTTGTATGTGACTGACCTAGTTCCTTTCATGAGCTTTCATTTATTGGTTATTAGGAAAGAATCTAAATGCCCAATTGATTTTAAAGTTGAGCTTGATCTAGAATTGATTTCTTTGGCTAGTGTTTCTCTTACATACAAATGTTTCGGTTCTCAGGTATCCTCTTGGATTCTTTCCTTGAGATGGTGCCCTGGCTATGTGGATGCATGTGGATGGCTCATGGAATCAGCTATGGAGACGAGTCAGGGTCCCTTTTCTTTCCCTTGGCTCTGGGGTGATGTTCTGGTATACTGGGTGCTCTTGGTTCTAACCTTTGGTTTACATACCTTGTGAACAGGTTTTTCCTGGTTTGATCAGGACTCAGGAGAGCCTCTGGCTAACTCAGTTGCACTGAGTCCCTGCTGTGACTTCCCTTCAGCCGTGACTGGAGTGATTTACTCTACAGCCGCCCCTCCCTGCAAAGCCTCCTTGCCCTGCTATAGCAACTGTCTTCCCTGTATGATCCCCTGTCTTCACTGTGTGATGCACGTGAACATTTATATAATTACTAGGTATGCCTGGCCGTTCCCTGCTGGCTTCTTTCAAGCCCCTTGTCCCTCATCTCCATCTCTTCCCCCGTTTTTAAAGTTGTGTTTTGCAATCTTGAATTTCTGAATCAAGAGGGATACAGTCTCCAAGTTTCTTCTGCTTCTGTGGTAGTAGAAGGCAAGTAGTAGGGGCAAGCCCCCGGCAAGCCTTTCCTATTTCTAGGTCTCATGGATGTCCTAAGGCAGTGCCCTCAAACTTTGTTGTCTCAGGACTCCATTTCACTCTTAAAAAATGATCCCGAACAGCTTTCCTTTATGTGAGTTATATCTATCAATATAGTTGTAAGAATTAGAAATTAAACTGAGGATTTTGAAAGTGTTTATTAATTCCTTAAAAAATAACAAACTCCCATGTTGACATAAATTATATATTTCTCATAAAAATAATTATTTTCTAAAACAAAAGAATTAGTGAGAGAGTGACATTGTTTTACATTTCTGCAAATGTCTTTAATTTCTGGCTTAATGGGAGACAGATTCTTATGTCTGCTTCTACAGTCAGTCTGTTACAATACGCTGTTTTGAAATATGTAAAGAAAATTCCTCCTTACATAGATATATAGTTGGAAAAGGGAAGAGTATTTTAATAGCTTTTTCAGATAATTGTGCATATTTTTGTGATTGCACCCAAACTCTACAAGCGGTAGTTTCTTTTTTTTTTTTTTTTGAGGCAAAATCTTACTCTGTTGCCCAGGCTGAAGTGCAGTGGCATGCTATCGGCTCACTGCAACCTCTGCTGCTCAGATTTAATTAATTCTCCTGCCTACGTCTCTCGAGTAGCTAGGATTACAGGTGCCTGCCACCACGCCTGGCTTATTTTTGTATTTTTAGTAGAGACAGGGTTTCACCATGTTGGCCAGGCTGGTCTCAAACTCCTGACCTCAGGTGATCCACCCGCCTTGGCCTCCCAAAGTGCTGGGATTACAGGCATGAGTCACTGTGCCTGGCCTACAAGTGGTAGTTTCTTAAAGGCTAGTTGCAATGTGGGATCTGAAGCCATGTCAATGAACTTTTCATACTGTGTTACATTAAAATCTATTTGTCTGTTTTATACTTTGGATCTTTTACCCATGTTTGATAATGGAAAATGGCAGGGAAGTGAAGCTGATTTTGTGAAGGAGAAAAGCAGTCATTAGCAAAATGTTGGTTCATTTATGTTTCATGCTGTAATATTTTTAAAAGCCTACTTTCATTAATGTCACCTTGGATCTTATCATAAAAGTATTGGGAAGCTGTTAGCTAACACATGACCAATATGAGTTTTCTAAAATGCAAATTGTAGCTGGGCATGGTGGCTCACACTTCTAACCTCAGCATTTTGGGAGGCTGAGGTGGGAGGATTGCTAGAGGTTAGGAGTTTGAGACCAGCGTGGGCAACATAGCTAGACCCCCCGTCTCTACAAAAAAATTAAAAAATTAGCCTAGTGTGATGGCACGCCTCTATAGTCAAGCTACTCAGAAAGCTGAGTTGGGAGGACTGCTTAAGTCTGGGTGCTCAGGCTGCAGTGAGCCCTGATGGCACCGCTGCACTTCAGCTTGAGTAACAGAGTGAGACTGTGTCTCAAAAAAAAAAAAAGTTAAAATATTAGAGTTCTTCAGAGAAACAGAATCAATACAATATATATAGTCCTCTGTATCTGTGGATTAAACTAACCCTGGATCTAAAATATTTGGAAAAAACAGGGAGGGTTGTGTCTGTACTAAACATATATAGATTTTTTTTCCTGTCATTATTCCCTAAGCAATACAATATAACAACTATTTACATTGTAGTTGGTATTATAACTAATCTAGATTTGACATATATGGGATGATGTGTATAGGTTATTTGCAAATACTACACCATTTTATATAAGGCACTTGAGCATCCATGGATTTTGGTATCTATGGGGGTAGAGAGTTCCAGAATCAATCCCCCCTTGGATACTGAGGGACACTTGTATATATGAATAAATATAGAATAATTTATTATAAGGAATTGGCTCATGTGATTATGGAGGCTGAGAAATTTCAAGATCTGCCTTCAGCAAGCTGGAGATCCAGTAGAGGCGTTGGTATAGTTCCAATCCAAGTCCAAGGGCCTGAGAAACAGGAAACCTGATAATATAAGTTCCAGTCCCAGCCCGAGCCTGAAGGCAGATGCCTAGCTTGAAAACAGGCAGAGAGAGTGAATTCTCCCTTACTCAATCTTTTGTTGTATTCAGGCCTAGTTATTTTTCATAAACTATGTTTTTTTTTCCTCTTTCTATTAGCAGATAATGTGTTTAAGATGAATTAATACATACTTTATTTCTGGGTTTTTTTTTGTTTTTGGAGATGGGGTCTTGTTCTGTCACCCAGGCTGGAGTGCAGTGGCATGATCATGGCTCACTGCAGTCTCTGCCTCCTGGGCTCAAGCGATTCTCTCACCTTAACCTTCCAAGTAGCTAGGACCACAGGCATGTGCCACCATGCTTGCTAATTTTTTTTTTTTTTTTTTTTGTATTTTTTGTAGAGATGGGATTTCAGCATGTTGCCCAGGCTGGTCTCGAACTCTTGAACTCAAATGATCCACTCAGCTGTGTCCTCTAAAGTGCTGGGATTACAGGTGTGAGCCACTGTACCTGGCCTCAGTTTTAATTTCTAATATAAATATTAATAGATATAACCCACATAAACAAAAATTATTTGGGCTTCTCAATTTTTAAGACTGTAAAGAGCCCTGAAATCAAAGAATTTGAGAACCATTGCCCTCATTATGTTGGTTCTGGGTTGATGTTGGAAATTAAGCTCCATTCAAGGGTATGACAAGAAAAGCTATGAGTATTCTGGCCCAAATTATAGTTCAAGATTTGATCTAGTTTGTCTCTCAATCTCTGGATTAACCTGGAATCAGACTGTTCTCTAGATGTGTAATAATGTGTTGGTAATCAAGTGTCTCATGGTAGTAGGGTAGAAAATTATTTATTCATACCCTGCATAGGAATAAACTATGGAACGTTCAAAAAAAAAAAAGAAGAGCTGGGCCTGGTGTCATGGGCCTGTAGTCCTAGCTAGTGGGGAGGTGGAGGCAGGAGGACTGTGAGCCCAGCTGCTTGGGATCCAGGGCAGGAGAATAGCTTGAATCCAGGAGTTCTAGGCCAGCCTATGCGATATAGCAAGACCTTGGGTTTAAAAAAATAATAATAATAAAAGAAAATAAATAGAAGTAGTATCATCTTTTCCTTGCTTCATGGTTGATTTTGTGTGAGGATTGATGATCACCTAATAATGATGATGGTAGCTCTATTTATTAAATGTTCCCCATGTGCTTGGCATGTACATCATCTAATTTATTTTAACTCTTAGAACGATCATAGACTAGGCTCTA